ACACTGGTGATTCTGCGTGCCCTGCCCCCACCCAGGTCTCACTGTCCCAGGCAGGCTAAGGCCAGCGGATTAAAATGAGCAGCACAGCTGTTTCAAAGGAGGGTCCAGTCCCCTCCTGCGGTGTCCCCCCCTTTTGTTTCAGTGGCCTCTGCCGACCTGTTTTGCCCTCTTGATCTCCTCCCAGAATCACCAGTGTGCCTGTCCCCTGCTGGGCTGCATTCCTCTTGTGTCACCAGAGAGGGACTTGGGGAGGGGGGCGGAGGAAGGGGTCACGGTGGTCTTGGGGCTGCAGGAAGGGCTTGAGAAGCCAGAAGTTGCAGGCGGCCTCATTTACAAACACCAGCATCCTCCACAGGGCCCACCAAGTCTACGCAATGACAAAGAAACCAACTGGAGGGGAACAGAAGGACTCAGAGAAAGAACCAACTCCATCAGGCCACTGTGGCTGGTCTAAAAGGATGGCCTTGAGCTGGCAGATGAAAGGGACCCATGAAAGGTCCAAGCAGTCTTATGCTTGTGTTCACTGAGCTCCTACTCACCTACTATGAGTTCACCAGTTCACTGGGTTGGACTGCAATGGACTGTGGGTGTACCCAGCCCCAATCTCTGGTCACCTGGCACCCATGGCCTAGTAGGGGTTTGTCACCATATGTAGGGGGAAAGGGGGTGCCACGAGGGAGGTAGACACAGTATTATTCCTCATGGCCACCTGGAGGAGGAGCCAAGCCCTGTGCCCATTTTACAGGTGTGTCCTTGGTGGTCCCACAGGTGCAGCAGGCTGGCCTGGACCACAGAGCTGGCACGAGTGGGCACGGGGTTGATGTATTTGGCTTGCTCTCAACCTCTTTCTGCTTCTTGCTACAAAGACTAGCCTCAGCATTTAAAAAAGTTCTAGAATAAGAGCAGGATGAGTGGCCTCGTAGAGATCATCCTGATAGAGCTAATGATGGAGGGGACATTTCTAGCTGAATGGCCAGGGATGGCTCCCTGGGACAGGTGGAAGCAAGGTGAACCCTAGTGGGTGAACAGGAATTCACGGAGATGCCACCCAGGGCCGGCGAAGGGAAAAGGAGCTTCCTCCTCAGACTGGGGAGGAAGGGGGGGAGCTAGTCGGGTTAGGAGGGGGCAGGGAGGGGAGGGGGCCTGAGGTTTTCCCGCGGCCTGTGTGATCCAGAGGGGGTACACCAGGCTGGACTGGAAGGAGGGGTGGGGTTGGACAGGGAGCTGCTGCCACAACTTGATGTAAGAGCCGAAACAGGAGGCAGGTGCCGGCTAGAATCGAATAGGGTGAAGAGGAAGAGACGGGCCCCCGTCTTTAAGGAGCTTGCACTCTTGTAGCTGGAGTGACAAAACTAACAAGAGAAGTTACATTCAGAATCATAACATTTTAGAGTCAGAATGAATCTTAGAAATGACCTAACCCAACCCCCTCAGTTTAGAAACATTGATAAAAACCAAGAGCCACCACTGGTTGAGCACTTAGTATGGGCAGGGTCTTTGTTCTTGTCAAGGTTGTAATAGTAGGTGCTGAATGAACATCTGCTGCACAATCATCTTTCATCCTCACAGCCATCCAAGAGATAATGGAGCCCCAGGCAGGGCCCCAAAGCCTTCTGGGGGGCCACTGGGCTGGAGACTTGGCCACATGGAACCCACATCTGGACTCCTTGAGGAGCTCGGTTGGCAGGAACCTTGATTCATTCTACCGAGCTAGACCAGAGCATAAAGCCAGATCTTAGACATGCTATGTAGATGCAGAACCACTGGAAAGTGCAAATGAGAAACACTGCACTTGAACCTGTCAAATACCCTGGACCGAGTGACCTTGAACAGTGACTTGGATGCTCTGGCCCTGTTCTCATTATCTGTAAAGGGCGAGAAGCCTCACTACCTCCCAGGATTTTTTATGACAATTAAATGAGGATGGTAAGACCCTCCATGCGTTAGAACTGGTCCCCATGTCCTCAATCTGGGATTCTCAGGCACCAGGGCTAGAGAAAGGAGTGGTGACAGCAGAGGGGGACGGGGGGAGGCAGTTGGTTATTGAGAAGAGAAGGGATGAGGCATGATTCAGTACAAACAGTTTCCTAGTTGACAAGGAAACTGAGTAAGAGGAGAATGGCTCTGTTTGGCATCAAAGGCAGAACAAGAGGAAATGGGCTTTGTAAGTCAGAAAGAGGAAAGCACTTTGTAATGGTCCCAGTGGACCCATAAAGTGGATGAGGGCAGGTTCTGGAATTGCCCAAGCCTTTGAAATAGCCCAGAGTTCCCTGCTGTCTGGGGTGCTTGGATGGGGCTACTGCTCAAAGCAAGATGGACGAGATAACTTCTCCAAGACCCCTTCCTGTCCTCAGGGACACAGTAACAAGTTTTGGAAGCCCCTGAGAGGGAACAGAAACCAAGAGGTCGAGAGCTGGTGCTGGCTTAGCTACCAGCAAGCTGGGAGCCCCCAGGCAAGTCCCGGCCCCCATGGATGTGAGGTACCCACCTAAGACACGCGCAGTTCAACCAACCATCTGCACGAAGTTCTCACATCCTCTGAAAGGCCCAACGAGGGCACTGTAATTTGGGGGGAAATCACAGTTTAATACTCCAAAACACCACCCACCAACAGAAAGAGAGCTCCTGTAGCTTTTTCCCTCGTGGTATTTACCATGACTTATCATTACGCAGCGCTGGTGTGTTTACACGCTGAATGCCCGTCCTGCGCAACTAGACTGTAAGCTCCACGAGGGCAAGGACCGGACCCGGCTCCCTCACATGTCTCCCCAACGCTGAATGCAAGCTTGGGACCTGGGGCAGAAGCTCAAAACCCTGTCAAACCTCCTTAAAAGCCCTGGGACCAGCAGATGGGTTGCTGAAACTTTTTTTTTTTAGTCCAAAGGCAAAGTACAAGATCAAAACAGCCTTAAATAGCATTCACTCTTACCACCACTTCGGTGTTGCTATCTTTGTGGTATTAACACATCAACAATGTCCCAAATGTAAGGGCTATAATTCACCCTCCAGAGGGAGAAAATGACGCAATAGGCCGCTCCTCCTCCTGCCCCAAACAAAAGGGCACCTAACTCAAATCCCCTGTGTGCTCCCAGCTTCGAGCTCCTGGGGCACATGGATCCCAAAATAAACGAGTCTCCCTTCGCTTCCAAAATAGAGGGCTACTGTGTGATCAGCCACTACACGGGGGATATACTGCTCTTAGCTCGGCGGGCTGCGAGAAAGTGTTTGGCCTTTCCTACAATCCTAACAAGACGAGGCAGAGGAAGGAGGCAGGGTTTGAGGGGGGGGGACAAACTCAATTTTTAAGAACCCCAAACTTCGTCAAAAAGCACCACGTAATTTTTTAAAAACGGATTAGAGATGTTTTCTTGTGATTACTTAAAAAAAAACAAAAACGGAAAGAAACTTCAAGAAACTCGACCATGCTACAGTAATTGTACCCAGATGCTTTGATTATTTCTTCAGGACTGTTGTGCTCCCAGGCGCTGGCAGGATTTTAAATTCCTAGGGAGAGTGGAGGCCTATGGTACACATTTTGCACTGGGTGGACCAAGTTTGCAGCTTCAGTGTGCAAAGGGCTTTCGGCTGTCAGGTAGCAGAGGCTCCTGGGACCTTATTTGCTGCCCCGCCCCCCCAGCCTATTCTTATCTCTTATCTGGGTGAGATGCAGTGGCCCCTGCGCCCTCCCCATTCACCCGGGCAGACCCCCTACAGACAGCACCACAGAGTTGACCTTTGGGGCCTCTTTCTGGCCCCCTCTCAAAACAATGCAACCTAAAAAGTATTTGCTTCTAAGGCTGTGTGTTTAGGGCTTTCCAGGAGCCCTGTGACAATTTACTCCCAGAGCCACTGTTTAAAAGGCAACCGTGTCTTCGGCCAGCGGTTTCTAAAGCAAGATAGAGGGGCGTTCAGAGGGGGCAGGGGACTCGGAGAGCATTGGGCAACTGGGCCCTGAGAAAACAGGCAAACTTCTACAAGTGTGTCTTAGCAAACTGCCTTCATCAGAGCTTCCATCCTCTAATTGTGGCCTACTGCTTCCAGCATATCTTTCCTATGGCATCATTTTCTTTGATAATTGAAGCCAAGCTTGATTCCAATGGCTTCGCACAAAAACGGGCCTCATCAGCGAGTTCTTTCAGAGAACAGGAGACACTTGGAGCCAGCAGAGGGCCATCTGCTGGGCCCGGCTCATTTTAAGTGAGGCCAGAGCAGAGGGTCCAATGAGAGACAGATGAGACACGCCTTGGGCAGGGACACACAAGGGCCAGTGCAGAAGGGGAAGGACACAGGGAGCACTCTGTGCGCCCAACACGGTCTTCTCCTTCCCAAAATAAATGCTGGGCCCAGCTCCTAATCCCACAGCCCCCTTCACATATACCTCGCCACTCTGTGTGTTTGTGTGCTGGGGTTTTTACACGTGCTTCTACCAACAGGTCACTCCTGCTCTAGGTTATTTATAGAGACCATCAAAAGGCCCAGGCCTCCCACTCAACCACTCGAAAACCAGAGTCCTTCCCTCTGAGGATAATTCCTGCTCTTCCGTTCCAACTATTTATATTAAACCTGACACCAAATCAGTAAGGACACAAACAAGTCATTAAAAATGAGGCTCCTCTGAGTGCCCAGGGTAAACACAGGGCTCGGAAGACGAGCCAGTGCTCTGGGCATCCAGCTGCCAGGACTGTGCCTCAACAGCTGATGAAGGGAGACCCTCAGCAGGACTTGTTTTTTTTTCTTTTTCATTCATTTTACTAACTAAATAAAAGCCCATCCTATCCATCGGGTACCTTGCTTGATGAATGAGTGTATTAGGAGGGGAAGGGGGACTTAAAGAATTAGAAAGGATCCCTACATCCCAAGAACTGGCTGGGAAGACAGATTTGGGTTCAGCAAGTAGAGAAAGCAGAGGCATGGAAAGGGGGAATACTCTAAAACTTTACCATGACTATGGGCTAGAACCCAAGAGTCACTCTTTGAAAGTGGTATCTTAACCTGGTTGCCCTTTGCACATACCCAGTTGTTATCATTATTAAATTATACTAATTATAGCACTTCACACACATCTGTTCAAAACATCCTAATAGCAACCTATGACATAAAAAGAAAGGATGGTGCCCACTCATTTTACAGATGGCACATGGGGTGCAGAAAGGCTTAAACCCAGAAGTAAGTAGTGGATAGGGCTGGGACCCAGTCCTTTAGATAACTTGGGACACCCCCAAATACACCACCATACACCTGAAGATCTTGAAATTTGGATGTGGCTTAAATTCTCTTTGACAATGCCCAGCACACACAAACATAGTATGGCAACTCAAGAGGCCAGTGAAAAGGTGCCACCTATATATGGATGATACCCATAGTTCACAAACAAGGAAAACACTGGAAACACAATGGATCTTTGGCCCTCGCCTCCAGGATCAAATAACTTCACAAGAGTGATCTGCCCAAAAGTTGAATCCTGGTTATGTCCCAGCTGAGGCCTTTGGAAGGAGGAGGGGCACCCCGAGGCTGGGTCTACTGCCCACCCACGAAGGGGAGGGGGCACGGCAGGGTCCTGCCTCTGAGTGCTTTCTTACTGATGACATCCCAAACCACACACAGTGCTATTTACGAAAGTGACACTGGGGGTCCTGACACAGAAGCCCCACTGTTAGAGGCCCCAGGAGAAGCAGCAACCTTACTACAGGCCTTAAGCAGTCTCAGCTACCACTGTGAAACTGGAGAGGGATGAGACCAGCAAAGGTTTTACTCAGGTGTTGACACATGGAACAGGGTAGTAGCAGCAGGTGCCCAGGGACTGCCCAGCCAAGAGGCCAGACCCAGTATCTTCCTCCAAAACAACCTGAAACCATAACCTTAAAGATGCTAAAACAACTTCAGGTGATCCTGTGCTTCCTTGCAAAAGCCAATCGGTTCCACTTAGGTGCAGTAGACCAGATGTCTGTGCAAGGCTCTCAAGGATATAAGAGCGCCCCCTGGTGGTTGGAGAGCGAGCCTTCCCCTCCCTGTGAAGTCAACAGGCCTGGCCACCCCCTAAATCACTGCTCCTAGATTCACACCTGGCTGCCCTGCCCCTTCTCCTGCTGCTGCTGCTGCTGCTGCTGCTGGTCACCGGAGGCCCTCCCCTAGAGACAGGGCAATCTCTACAGAGGCAGCGAAAGCCTTGAACACACGGAGAAATACAGCAAGCCATTACCTTAGCAAGATAAGCCATTCAGACAGCAATCGAGTGCCCACCCCCTTGCTTGCATGCAGTAAGCAACAACCTAGAATTAAGAGGCTCTTCTCTTTTTGAATATTCGGAAGGAGAGAGAGAGAGAAAAACAGAAAAACTCATGCTCACAGGAGGTCTGAATTTGCCTTCAAAGGTCAAGAATCTTAAGACTTGGCCATTCTGTAAAGGACTGTTTGTCTTTGAAGCCTCAAAAAGGGAAAGTACTCCAGGGCCCCAGTCTTCTCTGGCCAAGACCTCCGCTCCATCAGCACCGAGCAACAACATAATCAGCTGAGGTCTGCCCCTTGGCTGCAAACGTTTAAAACCTACATTCAATACCAGCAGACTCTGATCTAAAGCTCTGGTCCTTTCTTGGGGACAGCCACAGGGCCTTCCCAAGTAAGGGGGGTTTCTTGCTGCGTAAATACCTAATTCTACAAACAGACCCAATTGCCAGCTCTTATCTTCACATAAAAGTTCAAAAGATCCCACTTACCCCCACATCCAATGGGTACACACGTTATTTCCTGTGTCTCCACCACAACCCAGCTGCCTCCCTAGCCACATTAATTCCACTCTCTACTGATTAGTGGTGAATGACCCCTTCCAAAACCGGTGCTTACTGTATTTGGTGACTCAGCGGCATCAAAAGCTGCTGTTCTATCTCTCTCTCTCCCCCTCCCACCCCCTCTCCCCTAAGACTGGCCCAGGAAACGAAGTAACCCGCACCCGCATTAATGAATACTGCTTGCCAGTGTTGAGTTAGGCGCTGGAAGACTGCAGGCACGTAGGTGTGTGTGCATCACGTCCCCCACTTTAAACAACAAAAAGCAAGATCAAAGCATCCGTGGCCAGTGATCCTGGCTCTCAACAGACCTCTTTGTCAGCCCCTGCAGCACATCCATCCAACCATCCACCCTACATAACTCAAAACATCTGCAGGTCCGAATCACCCCCCCCCACCCCCC